TGTCTTTACATATGGGCGAGAGACCACAGACAGCACCACAAGTTCAGTGACACGGATGCAGATCCTCACAATGCCAGCAGAGGATTCTTCTTCTCGCACATAGGTTGGCTGATGAGTAAGAAACACCCGGCGGTCATAGAGAAAGGAAAAACCATTGATATGTCCGACCTGGAGGCAGACCCGTTGGTCATGTTCCAAAAAAAGTGAGTGAAATGATTTCACCATCATCTCCTTTATTCTTTCTTCAATATTTCTACTGATATTTTCACATTCAACTTCAGTATGCTATGCTTGAGATTATGGGAATGCGTAATCATGACATGAGTTTTTCTATGCCTATTTGAAAAAGCACCAATCAGTTCACTGTTTCTTGTTGAGTAAGTATCCAAAGTAATCCAAAATGACCCACCAATCAGAATTAAACAAATTCATAACTCACAACCTCTACGTCAAATATCAAACTTAATCGATTTACCAAAATACTTAGTTTTTAACGGAAAACGAGAATGGAAGCATGTACTTGGAAAGTTTGTTGCTTGTGAACGAAAATATAGTGATCAGATACCTAAATAGCTACATATCACATTGAGCAGCTTCTTCGAGTAATGGTTTGAACTCTAGACTATAATACCAGAGGTCCTGAGATGAATCTCGGGTCAAGTAACGTCTCCATTAATTTTGTTTACCACTCATAACTTCTTGTTGTGAAATTTAATATTATTATTGTTAGGAATCGCACGTTAAAAGGTAAGACCTCGTTAATCCTCCGCTCGCCCAAGTTTCGACTTCTGAGGATTGCCGTTCTGCAGATTTTTTGAAAATTTAGGACATAAATTTTGGTTATGACATCGAAACCAAAATCCAATCATCTACATTGTCAAAGGAGTATCATCTTGAAGTTATGCGCCTCTTGCGAGAAGCATTACGAAGAAAACATTCGGTATGGTGAAGAAACAACTCATGGCTTTTGTATAACAATAATGCACCTTCTCACTCGTCGTTGCATGTTCGTAAGTTTTTGTACAAAAACAACCCGTAATCATGCCTCAGCCACCGTATTCACCAGATTTGGCACCCTGTGACTTTTTTCTGTTCCTAAGATTGAANTTTTCAATCTTTGTTTGGCGAAGCCTAATGCGATGCCAATGACAGGTTCTGGTCCGATGAAGCTGCTTGCAGCACCCCCCTTTGCAAGGGTGTCAGCAGCCTGGCCAGTATGGCCAGGAATCCAGACCAGAGACAATCTGTTGAGTCTTTCTATCGAGGAGAGTCGTTTTTGGCAGTCTGCTACCAATTTAGATGTTGCTTGGTAGGAGCCAAGAGCTTCCAACGCCACTTGACTGTCCGAGAATATTTTTATTGACGTGTGAGTGAGGTCGGATTTATCCAATCTCTCCGCACACAATTCAATAGCATAAATTTCCGCTTGAAATACAGTCGGATAGGTTTCTAGGCAGGTTGATATCTTGTGCTGGGTCTGCGACTAAAAACACCTGCACCAGAACCGGTAGGTGTTTTTGATCCATCTGTGAACTAACAACTATCTGCTCTTGATATTTCCTTCACCCGGAGGATCCAGTCCTCTCTACTCGCGAACAGTACTTTATAAGACAGTTCGTAGTTGTTGGAGGCACGAAGTCAGAGGTCATTTCCAGAATGCTGTGACTTCCAGTGTCAACCAACAGTCTGCTGCACTCTGCATTAAATTGAATTGTGGAATTGGCAATATGCAGAAGTCTATATGCAGTCCATCTAGCTTCTCTCTCAGGACAAATGTGGAGAGGAGGTAGATCTAAGAGAGTCTTTATGTCCGCTGACGGTGTGGTACTGATGGTACCACTGATGGCCAGACAAGCCTATCTCTGTAAGCCAGAGAGTTTCGCCTGGGTCGTTTTCTGTAAAGCCTTCGGCCACCAGGCAATTGCATCAGAGTATCATTGCTCTGACAATCATCAAATAAATCCAATGGATTTGTTTGGGATCTAAACCCCAAGTTTTTTCGCAAATCTTCCGACATGTCCATAGCGACAGTCTGGCTTTGGGTAAAACTTTTTCCAAGTGAGCGTTCCAGGTGAGTTTTTTATCAAAGACAATGCCAAAATATTTCACCTCTGTTCCAAATGGAATGACCTCACCATTGAGAGAAAGTGGCGTTAGATCGTCCAATTCTCTCCTCCTGGTGAAGGGGATTATCACAGTTTTTCTGGTGTTGACAGACATCAGGAACAACCAGAGAGACAATATCCCACTTTGAGGGCAGTATATGGTGACTTTGAACCTAATGGCTTCGCCTTGAAGAGTCGTAGTTGCAGTTATTTCTACCAGCATGACGTATATCCAGCCAGTTATGGTCGATATTATACCTTTCCAAGCCTTATTTAGGAAGTGCATTGTTGTCAATCTGTCGACTTGCCGGTTTGATAAGTATACTGGTGGTTATTCAGGTGGAATGCGTAAATGCCAGCCTTCTGATGTGTCCGTCCAGTATCCTCTCAAGTCCTTTCAACAGGAAGGATGTAAGGCTGATTGGTCGTACCGATTTAGGGTGTAGGTCTTTCCGACCCAATTTAGGTACCTATATTTACCACCCTTGCTCCCAATCAACTGGGTGGTATATAGTTTCACGCCAGACTAGCTCTGTACAATTTTATGAGAATAGGTAAGATTATTCCCACTCTTTTTTGAAGAAGAGCTGACGAGATGAATGTTAAGAGTATTTTGTTTCGAAATAATTACTTTTCTTATGATATAATAATATTCTTATCCAATGGGTCAATTTCTTTGTTGAAGTGACCGATTCGCGGATCACATCAATTAAGACTACACATACTTTTACTAACGCTTCGGGAACTGTTTTAATAATTTTTCGCTCTTCGATGATCTTTTTCGAATTGAGAACAGAACTGAAAGTTTGTGAAATGATTCTTGTGAACTAGGCTATATTTGTAGGTTCATTCTGCCGGTAGAATCGACGTTCGTAGCGTTCATATCTGTAGGAGAGGGATGGCATAACTACCATCATACATTTCCTTGGGATTATAGAGCAGCAGAGTTGGGATCAAATTTCATGTTGACCACCTTCTTGATAGACCTTTGCTCGTACTTCGGTCTAACCTACGATCTCAAAACTGCATCGTTCAAAATGGTTGAAAAAAGATTGTTCAGAACTGGAGATGGCACGCATCCAAGATCCTTGAGGAGAGAGAAAATAAGGTAAGTAAGAATTATTCATAAAATAATTTTTCAAATACGGACTGATAAAACGGATCTCCATGTTGATGGTTAACTTTGCGCATCATCCCTCTTGTTCATATTATTAGGTCGTTTTTCAATTTCGATAGCCTCTCTGATTGTTCGCGAGTAAAAGTTTTCATTGCTTGCTAGTATTTTTGTATTACCGAAATTGATGTCATGTCCTGCAGTACGTGTTGGAAGAGAGAGGACGTGACTTTTCCCTTCACTACTAGTTTGTTTTGCGTATGTTGATTCGTTTGTTGGTCTGGCCGATGTAAGTCCTGTCACAATCGTGGCATGGTACTTCATACACTCCTTATAACTCCAGTGGTATCTGATCCTTGGGATTACGAAGCATCTCGTTGCCCAGACCTCACATCGCCGGATTTTTCAGTGGTCACTTGAAACGAAACGTGTTCAACGTTTCTCGATTTCATTTCATTTCTAGGTACATGTGGATTCGTTTTCCGATGACATTCCAGGTTGGCTTTTCAAATTTATGCCACCGCAGTTGTCGGTTGATTGGTCAAACTACCAATACTGTCAATAAAAACTTGGCAAGTTGACTTGGGTGTCACACCAATAGATGGTTCCACTTATGTCTCGCTTGCATTTATGCAGTTATTTTCATCAAGTACTTTTCTTGGATTTTCACATTTTGTCTTCAATCGAGGACCGCCTGCCCGGTACTGACGATGCACACTTACAAATAAGGGCAGTTGAAAGGGATTACTGACCTCTTTTTTTTTGGTAACTTGGGAGCTGTCTGACTTGTCCATCTAGTCCAAGTCTCTAGAAAACACTGTAGCCTCTTGGGCTTATTGCGTTCATTCTCCCATCTTCTCACGACACCCATTTCATCAGTCTCGTTCTCTGTACTAGTTTGTACAGGTTCCGTGTTGGATGTTCGTCATATCCTTCTGGACGATATTTCGTACGTCAATATATTGCCTGCCTCCTGTGATTCAGTGCCTCACATTCGCATAAGATGTGTAGAGCTGTTTCTATCCCTTCGTTGTATAATCTGCAGCTGAGGTCTCCGTTGTACAGCCCCATTTTATTCAGATTACTGACCTCACTCGAATACGAATGAAGAATGATGAGCTATTTTTGTGGTTTTCACTCCGTGTTCTGTGTTCTTGATCCTCACAAGGATTATTTTCACGACGTTTCGGCAAAGTCCCATTAACCATCACCAGCTGATGTCTAAAGTTCAGAACTGGACTGCTCAATTCTAACCCTGTGTCTTAATTAATAGGTAATCGGGCCAAAACAGGTAATCGAGCAAACAAAAGCAGTGGCAGCAACCCAGATAAATGTATGTATATAGTAACCCATACCCATAGCACCCATAGCATATGTGACCCATTGTACATCCTCCCGAGGAGTTGTCCTCCTAGGTCATCGTCCATCCTATCTTTTCCTGGAAGGTGGACAGGTCACTGGGAAACATCTCCTTTATATCGGTACGTGTAGGCCAAGACTCGCTGAACACACTCTCTTTGGCAACCTTGAGGTATCTCACGGCGGCTTCCGCGAAGGTTTTGGAAAGTGCAGCGACAGTAGTGTCATTGCATGGCTTCTTTAACTTTCCTGGAATTTCCCTAGTGGAGATGTTCAAGTGAGGGCGCTTTCCTGCAGGGGCAGCCGGCTTCTTGCGTTTATTCAAGACGGAGATCTTGGCGCCCGCCGCAGGAAGTGCCCTTGCTGTTGGAAGTGGAGTGGGGGAGGAGGAGGGTGCACTTATAGTTGGCCTCGGCACCGCAAATACGCCGGCTTTGTATTACATCACGAGGTGTGATGTGATGCCCACCCCAATCTACCGAGCGGTAGATTGGGGTGGGCATTTCTGTTCATCCCCAGCCACCGCCATAGATGGAGCTCTTCTGTCCAGCCTCGGTATTGGTTTTTGTTGAGTCTGTTTTGTTTGTTTCATATATGTGTGTTCCCAAGAGTAGCAAGGGAAGAGTTGGTCACCTCTGACAAAGCCCCGCATTACCAGAGGAAGGCTGATTACAATGAGGTTTCACCCGGTTCCACAAGGGGATCGTTCGTAACCACATATCACCCTGCGGCCATTCAGCTGTCGATGTCGGCACGATTCCTTACACCTTAGCTTGGGTAGGCTGGTCCACGGTGATATGTTTTGCAAAGGCTCTTGAGGGGTTTTAGTTCCCCTCACCCTACTTATTTCTGCCACTAACCAGGAGTTCGGTGATCCAGTCCGTAGGGCCACATATTGGCTTTCCGGACAGGGCCCCCAGTCCCCTGGCCGTTCCCCTATCCGCCACCTGGGGATGCGCCCGATAGATAGCCCAACCCACGGGAGCAACCCAGATAAATGGTAGCATCTTACACTGTGTTGATTATCGTTAGTTAGGGAAGCCACGGATTATGCTGTAGACGACCCCTCCCGATATAGAAGGCCCCGACACTCTGTCGAATGAGGCCCTCATGTCCCCCGTTAACGGATGAATAACTTTTTCATCCATCCCACCCCAGCCAGGTAGGGGTATCCCGTGAAGAGCGGCACTGATGTCTAAGGACTTCATGCCGTCACCTATTCAGTCATGAACCCATTGGTCCCTCTCAAGACCAACAATCAGCCAAAAGGGTAGGGGAGCTGGTCTCCAAACCTGGATGAATTGACGATGACATTCTGGTTTGTTGATTATTTTTGAAGTGTGTTCGTTGAGAATAATGTTTCATCATTATCAATGAAAATATTCAGATCTTTGAATGACCATGTATATTCAAATAGTTTGAATCATTGAATTAATGAATAATTGTGTTTTATTTTTCATACAGGTGGTTGAATGGTCAGAAAGAAAACGACGCTGATAGCGATGATAGACAGAAAGTGGTCGATGACAAAAGTTGAAGGAATTTGATTCTTCGAATCAATGAACCGTTCAGCTGCTGTTCAGCTGTATTTGACCAGTTTTTTGTTCAAGATTGTATCTTAAACAGTAGTAGTTTGGTAGTTTCTTATTCAAAAAACTGAAGTTATCATTAGAAATAGTAACGAAATATTTTATATTTTACTTGTGTAGTTTTTTAACATCAGAATAAACGTGCATATACTGAAAACGTTCACTAAACTTCGTTTTTAATCTATTGTGTTTGTAAGGTTGATAGATGATTATTTATCATTTCTACTATTTTATGTTGAAACAGTTATGAAATATCATACAAAAATGAGGAAAGGGAACGAAATCAATGGGAAATCAATGGGAAATGCACTATAGAATCAATTCCCAGATATCTGTAGAAAATGCTGTAGAGAATCTACTTTATAAATACATTTCCTGACTAGATGCAAATCTGTTCTGTCTGTCTATCTGTAAGACAGCAGTTTATATCAGAGCCCAACCGAATCTTATGCAATAAATAATAAAATTTTCAGAAAGCCAAAATTAGTTGTTGAAATAGGTGAAGCTTCATACTGAATTTCCGATTGATTCCATGTATATTTTTTCTAAAGAAGGTTTCAAAAAAGTAGAAGTGGCATATTATTTTCTCAATATATTTTCTTAATATATTTTCAGTTGAATTTAAAACGTGATTTCCCCAGTATCAACTACGCAAGTACCCTACTAAATATTTTTGATGACTTTCAGGTTTAGTTTTTGTCATTTTCATGTCCCTATTTGCATGCTTATCTCGTGAATGCATACATATACATATCGAGTCCTGATTTACTTTCAGCACTTACGATAATGTCTTTTAAAAATATTCCATGTGAATATTTTTCCTTTGTACTAGATGATCATAACTTATACAACTGATAACAAAATGAATTTCACTCGTGTTTAAGAGCTCTCATACTAGCACTAAAACTTTTGATATTTATGAATGTTAAAGTAATTTTTTTGGGTTTTTGCAATTTTGGTACAATTTCATCTTTATTTTTCTATTACTGCCCATGTTTTCCATTTCCTTTATGATTTACATATGGAATAATGAACCGCACATAATTTGATAATCATCAAGTCACCAATAAATATATAAAAATTCAAATAAATATTATTTGACTGAATATTTTTCTTACGGATATTTCTAAAAAATCCCATACGAAATTTGAACAAAATATAAAAGCCAGCATGAGAAAATCGAAATTTGTGAGTGATACAGAGTGATCAAATAACCTAAAAAAAGATTGCCCATTTCAGAGTTTATTTTATAGTTTTTTTTAACACAGACCTCCAGCTTTTTTTATCGATTTTTGTAGGCACTGTGATAACAAATTCAGCTATATACTACAATACATGCCCGTATTAAAAAAAAGTTGATGATGAAATCTATTGAACGAAACGTCGCGTTGCAAATTGGTTTATATCATATTATAAAAAATGTGAAACAGTATTGAGAGCTCCTCTGTCTTTTCTATATCATTCGAAATAGAGCCAAAAAACGAATTTCGACAATTTTAGTTTTTGGCGAGTATTCCAAAAACAATCACTAATATTCCCGGTCTTAAACGAGACCATTCTAGTTTCCCAAAACATTAAACTACTTTCTAATTTAACCGAACTTGTAGGTCTTACATTATCCAAGATAGTAGTAGTGAAATCAGCTAAAAAAACGGCCTGTATAATAGTTTCAGAACATTATTGAGTGGAATAGTAAGTTCTGATTGCCTTACTTTGGTGACAATATCAAAATCCGAATACTGTATTTTGAGTGATTGAAGACCAAAGCATGTATTTTTCACTTCATCCACTTGTCAATGAAATCAATGACATTATTCTTGAGACAAAACAACACAAGCACTATAGGAAAACCCTCTAACAGCGGTGCCTATGCGATAGTAGCGATCCACGTTGAATTTGAATCACTGGAAATTAAATTCATTTGGAAGAAAGTTCTCAGGAAGTTTATTCCACATAAACGCAGAGTTCTCAATCAGTAGAGTTAGAGGTGTACTGAGTTGAACCCCAAAACGATGAGCAGTCACAGTCCGTCGCGTATTTCTGACATGTACCGCTCTTGGTGGAATGAAATTTGCCAAGTCACTTGATGTGACTTGGCAAATTATAGACCGACAAGGTTGCAAGGAATGTTTAAGTCTCCAAACAGGCGAATGGATCTTTTCTGAAAGGAATCCAGCAGCTTCAGGATATGCTTAGGGGTGGAGCTCCATACATAAAAACAATGCTCCAAAGAAGGTCAGATCTGAGCTTTATAAAGCATCAAAAGTTGCTGAGGTCTGTACAGTTTTCTGGTTCGGAACAGTGTTCCAAGTTTTCGAGGAGCAGCCTTTACCATTTCAGCGACATGGTTGTGCCAAGACATATTGGTGTCCACCTTAACCTCCAACAAACTTATCGAAGCAGGAAGCCGAATTGTCTGTCCTGACATTATTATATGCAGTTCGGAGACATTTATCTTTTCAGAGCAAATCGATGTCTGGGTTTTCGTGGAATTGAACCCAATTCGAATTTACCTCTAAAGTCTATCCAAATCCAAGATAGAGTAAAACAAAACCGAAGCGTAATGTTCACGTGATCGCCCAGTGTCAGATGGAAAGGGCAGCGTTCATTGGTGAATTCGCCTTCTTGGTACGAGTTCGGTACCAGCACAGGGTTGTAATCAGTCGTTTGCGTGTTTGTGTGGCGTGCGTTATAGTATATTGTTTAAAATTGTTTTCCAAGATGTCCAGTACAGACA